AAACTGTAACAGGTAATTAAAACAATTCAAAATAATTCACTCTATTTTTAAAAAGAATTCCACTTTGAAAGGTAATATGTATGAAAAGAAATACAATATCTAAGAAGTGAATAGTATGCTGCCCACTTGCATGGAATGTGCAGTTTTTGTTGGAGAAATATCAGTGAATATAGGAAAAAATGAATCATCCTATGTAACAGTAGGTTGTCAAGATATATGACATGTCAGTATTTTAAAAAGAAAAAAATACATATGTCTGGTAAATGTAAGAAGGTAGGTCAAATATGACTGAAAGTTGATAAAGGAGATAAAATGGTTAAAAAATAAAGTCTAAACAACTGAAACAAAGAATAGCAGTCTTTACTGAAGCAGTTTAGGTGGAAGCAGTTTTGTTTGAGAAGAGCAAGAGATAAAATCACATAAATAGTAAAGGGCAGTATTCTAGCAGTCAGGCATGCTGGTTAGAGGAATGTGGATTGTCTTATAAGCTTCCTGAGAAATTTTGTATGTGTGTGAGTTTAATTACAAGCACAACATGATGTTGTGTACTTGTGTTCATCTCTTTACAGGTTTATGTATAGTGCTGTATAGATTGGAATAGACCTGTAAGTAAGAAGACAAACTAAACCCAATGTGAGGAAGCCCTAAAGTGCCAGGCACTACTGGAAGGCCATCATTCTTGGTGACCTGATTTCTGCTGTCAAGATGCTCATTGTGGTTATGTGAACTGCAGCTCTATCTCAAGTGCAAGATCCTTAGAAAGGTATTCCTGAGCTTTTCTAGCCCCTTCTGTTCTCCCTTGTTGCTCATAATCTCACCTTCTTGCTTTCTATCTTAATGGTCCTTATCACTATGTACAATTCTTTTTTGGTCTCTTTGAGGCTTTTGTAAACAGGTAACTTGCATGTCTATTGTCCACTTCTATACTATCAGTTCCTGGACCGTATTTTTTGTGACTATAAATGACGAAGAATGATATACTCAGGACCATAACCACATGTTACACACAGAGGCAGGTGTGTATCTGAAAAACAAACACATTCTATTTTTAAAATACAAAGACCTACAAAATAAAAATTATTTAAAAGATAAAAGACTACATAAACATTAAGGTGATGCCTATTATTCAGTGTCTGTTGTATACATGCAATTTGAATAAATGTAAAAAGTCAGAGGGAATATATCACTCTATTCTTTTATGTAATTTAAAAATCAGGATACTCAGTCTCCAGTACATTTCAAAGTTCCCTACTATTCATATATTATATAAAATTTTAACCTGAATCCATCTTTTAATATAATTGAAAAAAGCTGGTATAATGAAGGGAAAAATACCATAATGGGTTGAATGTGTTCAAAGACACAAATGTCACTAAAATACATGCTACTAACATTTTTCTTTCTGTAAAAGTTTATAATGTTCTAGTATTGGCCACATAAGAAGGGTGAACAAGTATGATACTTCTGTGTTATTTTTAGTTGCCAAAATATGAAGAGGACTTCAAGGAAATATTATACCTCCACTAAAGATAATAAACAGCTTTCACTGACTACTCCATATTAACAATGAT